TACGGAGTGCCTTACCCTGCTTTCCCTCCCCTTGTCGCTGCCCGCCTGTGAAGTCAAGCTCAGCCCCCAGAATTTTGGGGTGAAAGTCGTGGATTTTGCCGATCGAGCCCTCATGTTGCGGCGCTGCACCGAGAGTGAAGCCTTTCGCGTCTGCTTGACACCGCTGCTTGCTGTGTCCGTGGCACTGGCACAGTTCTGTGACCCAGTTCTACGCCTGCCTGAAGGACAGGTTTTCGACCTTTCCTGGTATGAACTTGCCCGTCCTGAGATTTGGTGGTGGCTGCTCCTTGATGAACTCGCGGGACTTAAGGGCTCGCTTCCCCGGGCTCTCGAAGGGCGGAAGTCCCCCGTCCGGGATGGCAGCCTGGTGCAGATGTCCTTGGCTCCCAAGCGTGACCCCACTGCCAAACCAGATCCACTGCCAGCAAATAGCCGACGGGGCGCTGGTTCTAGCCAACAGCGCAACATCGGGGGAGGCAGCACGAGTGCTGAGGTGACACAGGGCACACCATTACTACATTGCGGCGTGTTGCTGCCTGTGCAGCTGTTATTCTTCCTCACCCGAGCGCTAGCCGACGACCCTTCGGCCGCCCCACTCCTGCAGCTCACCAACGTTACCCCAGCCCGAGACGGCCAACATATTGAGGTGCGGGTTACATGCAAGGTTCCAGCTGACTTGGTAGGCCGTCCTCAGATTGCCATTGCGGACCGATTGATGGCGGGTTTTGAGAACGGACTCCTTCCGGCCAGACGCGGTGAGTTTGAACTGCGCATGTTCACGTATCCTGGCTCCTATCGCGGCACTTTTCGACTGCTCTTCCCGCTTGCGGATATTCCGCTGGGGTTACAAGCTCAGCCGTCGCTTGCGATTCAAGCTGCCGGGTTACTGCACAGCGCCCTGTGGCGTCTTCGTGCCGCGGCCACCTCCGAAGGCTGGGATCTCCGCGCGGTTGTCGCCTACTGGATTCGTGGGCCGCAAAAAAAGAAATTTTACTTTCCGACCCGCCTGTGGCGCTTTGCGCACTTCGACGCAGTGGAGGCCAAAGCGATGGCCCTCCTTCAAAGGTTGGTCGCCCAGGAGGAGAGCCGAGCACTGCCACCACCGGATGGCACACGCCCCTGGATCAGGCTGGGGCACCCCCAGGCACAGGACCGCTGGAAGGCTGCGGCGGATGAATTCCTCAGAGAAGGGGGCCTCGGACCCGGCCTCCAACTTCCCTGCATATCCACGGAACTGATGCCATACCTTCATAGTGAGGACCACGACAACCACCAATACTCCTACTCACGCTTGAAGGAAATGTACAACGAAGGGAACTATCAAATGCTCTATCTCCTGAAGGAGAGTCACTTCCCCTCGAGTGGCCGTGACATGCAACGCTTACTCAACAGCTGGCCGTACGATACAGCGACCGGCTCCACTAGGTGACCTCCGCTCTATGCGACCTGGGACCGACGACATACGTCGTTGTGTCGATATTCTGGAAGGTGAGAGAGCTACATAGCCCTGAGTAACATTGCGTCTCACGAGACGGGCAGGTGGTATCCTTCCGCCCTGCATCCACTGTTCGATCGTGCCGGCTCGGCGGCTCAGTCTTCTGGTCCGCGGAGGGCCTCGATCTGATGGCACGCCGACCGACGACATACGTCGTTGAGGTCCGATCGCTAACTTCTGCACACCAGGAGTGCTCCATATTCCACACCCTTGCCTGGTCACTTGCACGGTGCCCTGACTTGGTTGCGTCGTGTTGGGCTGCCAGCACGTCGACATACGTCGATGTCCGTTTTCTGATCCCCGCACTGCCCTCTCTTCCTTGCTTCTTGGCATGTGCGTGGAATGAGATGCCGGCCAACGTCAATACTCGGGCTTGACATGTTTCAGATTCCCTCATTTAGTGACATCGACCCGGACCGCCTTGTCACATTCGCACTGTCCCTTCCAGCGGGGCGCGAACTGCGTGGTCTTGAGGGACGCTTTGACGGGTATGGGCACAATCTCTTCCAGTTGATCCCAGGCGTGCGGCTACCGTCTCCCGCACGAGACAGGACTCTTGCCATGGCTCAGGCTCTGTCTTGGGAGACCCGCTAACTTGGAATGTTCTGGGCGTTGCGCTGCCGGACTGACGCACACCAGGCGTTTCCCACGGTCTACACCCTTGCCTGGTCTGACTGTGCGCGTTGTTTGGCGGAATCGACCGCCGGCAGCCAATCACCACAAGATTGGCGCACCGTGGATCGTCTGTCTCGATCCTGGGTTACGGCCATTTCTGGCCGACTTTGAGTCGCAACGACTCGGACACCGACAGACCTGAAGCCCTTCTTTCCGGCAAATTGGACTTTTGGACTTTGGTGTGCTCGACCGTGACGGAACAAAGCGCAGGGGCTGCCCGTTGTCTGACGAGACTAGAACGGCGGCCGGAGCTTGGTCTTGGCTCCACCTGTGGCTTTGGGCAGCTCAGAGCGACGGCTCTTTGTTGCTTCTGATCGGTCGCTGAGGCTTGTAGTTGGGTTGAACGGCTAACACCGGCAAAGCCTGTGCGCCGCAGCCCTTGTAGAGCTTCGCTTTTGGTCTCACCGCTTTGTAGTTTTTGTTGCTTGTTTGTAGTCTGTTTGTTTGTAGGGACCGAGTGCTACAGCCGTAGTCGACGAGGCCCATTCACGCCAAAAAAGTCACAGCACCCATGCTCAAGGCTCTCTCTGAAAACCAGATTCGTCTGGCGGAGCTCATGCAGACAAAAGACGGCAATCTTGGAGTGGATTGAGAAATTTGAGCACAGTCTAACCCAGGGTACCTTGGCGCATTGGGTGGCTTTCCGCATGGTTGAGTGTCTGGAAGGACACGATGGGCATTTTCGCTGGCATTGAAGATATTAAGGCCCAAGAACTTAAGCAAACAGGCGCTGGCCGCTGCAGCATCCTACAGGCTAAATATCACAACGCACCGGTCCGATAAATCCTGGATTACTTGCGGCGCTTCTTGATTTCCTACGTGACTTGAGATTGCTGTGGTGTGTGGTTGGTGACTGGAACTGCACACCAGAGGAACTCTCATCAACTTTGGGTACAGCAAAGGCTTGACAGATCCCTCAAGCCAGCCCAAATAAAGCTTTTTGGTTACCAGGTTAGGCATATGCACCAGCATGTTGGTGTAAATAACCAACTAGATTTTGCAAAGTTGCAGCACCAGCTAGAATCCTTCATGACAGGCCACAAGGTTGATCTAGAGGTGGTGCAAACCACGCTGCAACAGGCGGCGCAGGCTGCCAAGAAGTGGAAGCAAACCAGGCAGGAGCAGTACCAGACGTGGCTCCAAGGTGCATGTGAAGGCGGCATGTGTGGCCTGTTCTGAGCACTCAAGTTGATGGACAACAATAATGCCAGGCCATACAGAGAAGTCAGCGGTGAGCTCAGGCCACATGTTCGTAGGGAGCATTGGAAGCAGGTCTAGCAAGCCTGGCAACAGGCAGGAAAAGTATGACGCTACTCCTTGGTTTTGCGAGCCCGCCTACGAGAAAACACAAGGTTGGTTGAGACCTCCTCGGAGCCCTGTTTGGCGAGACTCGAACGGCTCGGAGCCTGGTCTTGGCTCCACCTGTTGTTTTGGGCAGCTCAGAGCGACGGCTCTTTGTTGCTCCGGACCGGTCGCTGAGGCTCCGTAGTTTGTGTTGTGCTGAACGGCTAACACCGGCAAAGCCTGTGCGCCGCAGCCCTTTGTAGAGCTTCGCTTTGCTGTTTCACCGCTTTGTTGTACTTGTTTGTAGGCCGAGTGCTACAGCCGTAGTCGACCCAGTCAAGCCTCTTCGGAGCCCACACCAGGTACGGCCCAAAAGAGCCTCGCCACGGTAGAAGTAGGAAAAGTTTCACAAGGATCACGTGACACGACAAAGCTGTGTCCGTGATGAGGGCGTAACAGATAGTTCAATTTTCCTTCATGCCCATTTGCATGCAGGAATCCAGTGTGTCACCGCAGGTCAAACGTAGGCTCAAGACAGCCCGACAGCGGAGCAGCAAGTGAGAAAAGAATCCAAGCTCGCGCCGTGGTTGTAACAAGGACACTGGTTTAAGGGTTTAAACTTTCATTTGCAGTATTGCCAGGGCCAGGCACAACGGCAAATAAAGAGACTTGGAGCCGATACAAAGACCAAACAGGCTCGAATTTTTCTTACACTGACAATTGCATCACTGAAAATGCCGTTGTTCGCGGATCAAACACGAATTTCACCTTTTGTTTCCGTGCGTTTTTATGTTTTCTGTGTGTGTGGTTGTGTGTTTTGAGTGGTGTGTGCGTGTGCGAACTTTTACCAGTTTCTTCTTTGTTTGTAGTATTGCCAGGGCACAACGGGAAATAAAGATACTTGGAGCCGATACAAAGACCAAACAGGCTCGAATTTTTCTTACACTGACAATTTCATCGCTGAAAATGCCGTTGTTCGCGCATCAGACACGAACTTCACCTTTTTGTTTCCGTGTGTTTTTGTGTTTCTGTGTGTGTGTGTGTGTGTGGTTGTGTGTTTTGTGTGGTTTGAGTGGTGTGTGCGTGTCTGTGTACGTGCGTGTTTGTACGTGTGTTTGGTGTTTCCTTTGGAAGCAGAATTTCACCAACACTACTTGAACTTATTGCCAGTGTTTCTATGTCTGCGTGTGTGTGTTTGTGTGCTTTGTGCGTTTGTGTTTTTTTGGTGTGTGTGTGTGTTCTTGCGCCAGCATTTGGCTTGAAATTGTTTCTGATCGCACAAGCTTTCAAAGCATGAACGCCGACGTCGGACGTGACAGAATCTGGCGCACACCATCTCGTGCGGCTTGGTTCTTGGTGTGGTATGGTCTTCTGCCTTTGCCTCATCTTTGTGAGCGAGGACATGAGTGGAAGCGCTTTTCAACCAACGGTGCTGACGACAAAGGTGCGGTGACGCTTCACTAAGATTTATGCTGTTCGCCGTGAAGATGAAGACGAAAACGAAGAGGAGTCTTCTGGTCCTGCACAAAAACTTTGCAATGAGAAGATGACGTGGCGTCAGCGAGGAACCTTACCTTATTATTGCTCTTCCAACTTGACCCCGCATCTTTACTTGAAAATGCTCTACTACTTCGCTTCCGATGCAGACTACAAGACTTGCTTACGTGAGTGTGGCATCAAAGCGAAAGTATGGCGAGTTTTGGTGGAAAAGCTTCGCGGCATCTTGTGGCTTGTTGCTGGTGCTCAGCATCAGGAGCAAATTGGTGGTAGAGATCGTATTGTCGCAGTGGATGAAACGTTTTTCACCAAGAAGAAGCGAGCTCGGGGTGGTTTTGCTGGAAGACACACAGCCGGACATGATACACTGGTTTTGGGTATGATCGAGTTGGATCTTCGCACGCGAAGAGCAACTGGTCGCTGCAGACTGCAGGTCATTCCGAATCGGAAGAAGGCGACGCTCAAACGACATCTGATGCAGCATGTTGTGCCCGGGTCACTGGTGTTTACGGACGGCTTGAAGTCATATGGCTGGATGTCGGCGAGAGACAGTCCTTTCGTCCATCGTCAATCACAAGAAGAGGGAATTCAGCAGGGTAGAGACGGACAGGAGATCAATGTCTCTTCAAATGCTGCGGAAGGTCTCTTTGGAAGATTGAAATCGTATGTCCGGCGCCGGGGCATCAAACGAGTCTCAAGACAGTGCTATGGAAAGGTGCTTGCAGAGTTTCTTTGGAGACAAACGTGCTCAGCCAAGCAGGAAGAACCTTTTTCCGAGCTGCTCAACGAGATTTTACTTTGGCAGTTTCGACACCCACACGCTGCCAAGCACGCACCCAGCCTGGAATCTTCCGTTCCCGAAGATTTGAAGGCAGACTTTGCGAATCTGGTGGAAGATGAGATGCCAGAAGCACCGCGTCAAGCTCCGGCACCGCTTGAACCTGTTCATCAACCACCTGCTCCGCCTGACGAGTCTGAAATGCCACAGGTTGAAGTTGCAGCCCCCGTACTTCCACCCCGGCGCGCACCTCAAGAGGCGGTGGAGGCTTTCCTTGCCCAGGCGCCACAGCCCGCCGCAGCATCTTTGCATCCGGGTCCACTTCAAGCAGAAAGCAGCACAGACAGTGAAGTGGAGCTGGTTCTTTACAAGCCTGCTCCCAAGAAGGCCAGGACTTCTGGCCCTGCTATCAAGAAGGAAGGATCTACTGCAGATCATGTTAGCTTGCCTGTGTTTTCACCACCGCGTGTGAAATTAGAACCGTTGTATTGTAGACAAGGGCATGCCCTCATGTTTGAAGACCCTCCGGCACAGGTGGTGCTGAACCAACGGGAGTGTGTCTATTACGAAGTTACTTGTGACGTTTGTGGTGCCATGTCCCCGCAGGGGACATACAAATGCAAGGCTTGCAATTGGGAAATCTGTGAAAGGCGCGCACGTGCAAACAGCCGTCCCCGCCTTCTCACGTAGAGCATCGTAGAGCCCACCTTTCGGTTTTGCTGGCCTCGTCGCAGCACATGCGGAGGTTTTTAACATTGTGGGGGCGCACTGCAAACAGCCGTCCCGCCTTCTCACGTAGGGCATCGTAGAGCCCACCTTTCGGTTTTGCTGGCCTCGTCGCAAAACATGCGGAGGTTTTTAGAATTGTGGCCCAACCGGTGCTGAAAGGCAAAGCTTCTGAAGTGTAAGTGACTGAGTGAGCATGGGACAGAATTTGCTTTCAACTTCTGCAGCTCTATGCAGGGGTAGGGCGTAGCAACCACGTCTGCAGCTGTTTAAAGGGTCGCAATCATGTGAGTGAGTTTTCCTTGCATTGAATAAGAGCAAGTTTTCTTTGCATGCCTCTGCATCTTTGCAGCTTCTCATGATTTTTAATGCATGTTTTGCCAAATTTTATTCAAAAACATCGCCATAGGTTGCTTTTCTTTTTTCATGTTGCCAAACGCCTCAATTCAAAGTTTCGTGCTTTGAGTTGTGTCTGAAGATACACGGCGTCTTCTCATGCGTGCAAGCTCCAATGCTCGCAAAGTTGAGTGCACTCGGTACGCGCATTTTGTGTTAGCATGTTTGCAAGGCCACGCGAGGGGAGGGCTATTCGGCATGTCGTGTGATGTTGTTGGTCGTTGTGGACAGAATGATTGGAGTAGACCTAAGGTTTAAGGCGCGAAGGGTTTGCTCGTATGGGAACCTTCAGAGTTCCAGCAAGCCCTAAACTGGCCCTAAACCCTAAACCTTGACTCCTTAGCCGTTATAGTGCATGTTTGTCGGTGTCTGAAAGCGAGCCGCGTGCAGAAGATTGGTTGTCTTTAAATTTCCAGGGTTGGAAGTGTATCTTTCAGTGTGAAGCTACAGAATCAGTTTTGTTGGTTTGTGGTTTTGCTCAGAGAAGCAGATCCGGAGGCACACTGGTGCTTTAGACAAAGCGGACGTTTTTTCGACAGTATTGAAAAGATGAACAAGTGTCTGGTAATTCCAGCATTTCCCACTTGTGCAGGTTGTTTCCTGTCCTAGGCTCTTTCCTGTCCCTGGGTTTCTCCTGCTTCAGGCGTTTTCCTGCCCCAGGCCCTTTCCGTTCCAAGGCTGCCTCCGGTTAAGGGCTTCTGTTTGTGGAGGAGGTTCATTTCCCATGCCAGGCTTTTTCCGCCCTCAGGACTTTTCCATGTAAGAACTTTTTCCTGCCAGGGCTTGTTTCCCGCGCTGGGCTCACCACCTGGAGGGGGCATGGGGACCTACGTGCCTGAGATCCTAGCTGGGAGGCCAAAGTCACCAAGCGTGGGCGCCCGCAATTGGAAATCGCGCTCCGCATGATGGAAGGTTTCCGCCGCGGGTGCATCATAGCCCGTCGCGACTTCGATCCGATAATGTTTACCAATCCTGGGGTTTACAAGGGCGCCCTTCGGCTCTTGCTTCCCCTCGAGGACATTCTTCATTGCAGCTTCAGTCCGCGGAGCTGCTGCATGGTGCCATGTGGCGGTTGCGAGCGTGTTCCAGCGCCGAGGGATGGGACTTACGAGCTGTGGTGGCCTATTGGCTTCGTGGGCCGCAATGCAAGGGATTCTATTTCCCAACGCGCCTTTGGCGTCTTGCACACTATGAGACGATGGATGCCCGCGCCCAAGTCTTGCTCAATAACCTAGTTGCGGTTAACCCGGACGACAAGTACGACCAAGCCACGGGTCGCCGGGCATGGGTTCGGCTTGGCCACCCGTGCGGGCAAGACTTGTGGAGACGTGAAGCTCAGGCCTTTGCCGAGTCCGGCGGCATTGGCCCTGGCTTGCAGATGCATTTTGTTTCTTATGAGCTCATGCCTCACCTCCACGAGCACGAGGGTGAGCGTTTTGAGTACTCTTTCCATCGACTTATGACCTTCTACCACGACAAGAAATACCAGCTACTTTATATGCTTCCCGACGGGCTATGATTGAGCGGCCGGCTGAGTTCCAACGCCTACTGGATTCCTGGAGGCGTTTGGCACAAGCACAGTGACGGGTCCTTGACCCAGCCCGCGCTCTAGGAGCGCTCGAGTGCTTCAAAGTTTCGACTTTTAGGACTAGGACTTCACTTCCGCAGTCCCGCCCCCGCCTTTGGCAGTGTGGCATCACAGCTTTACTTCACAGCTTTCTTCACAGTTTCGGTGTCCTAGCTGGTGTTCCCTCCCGGTAAGTTTTTTCCTAGAATTTTTACAGCGCCATGGCCGACGTAGCCATGGCCAAGAAAGAGGAGCAGGAGTCCCAGGAAGCTCCCGCGCTGGAGCCGACGGAGGTGCCCAGCGCACCCAGTGAGCCGATGGCCGCCGGGCCAACGCTACCGCAGCTGGCGCCGCGCACAGGCGGCGATGAGATTGCCCAGGATGAGCTGGCACAGTTTCGAGAATGGCAAAAGCAGAGGGCAGAGGCAAAGGCCCACGCCGCGCCGACCTCGCCACCAAAGAAGCAGAGGACCGATGATGAGGAAGACATGGCCGAATTTGAGGTGAAGCTCGTGGAACTTGACATCAACTTTGCGGACCTGGACCCAGAACTGCAGAACAAGCTTCGGAGCAGCAAGAGCTCCCGCCGAGATTTTCTGGCTATCCACACAACAGACAGACTTTATAATCCCACAGATGGCACATGGTCGGAGCAGCCTACCACGAAGAAGAGAGATTTTGGAAGCATTACTGAAAGAGCCATGCCAAACTTGACGGCAGAGGACAACGTGCAGCAAGCCATGCTGCAGTACCACCAGAAGAGCATCCTTCCTTCCCTGGACCAGTTGCAGATGTGCTGCGATCAATTTTACAAGATGGCACAACATGAGTTCGCGATGACACAGTATACCCTGGACAGGCATTCCAGCCAACTGCAGGTGCTGGAGCGTTCCAAGGCCAACAAAACCATACTTTTGCTGGATTTACCGCCAATTTTCAACAAGAAGACCCTGGACGCAAATGTTGGGTATTATCTGCAAGCCGCCGGCCTCCAATGGGACCAGGTGGCGGCAATGCACAATCATATGGTTTCCTCCGCCTCTTCACTTGTTCGCCTGGAATTTCTCACTGAACAGCAAGCTGCCCAGTTTAGGGACCAGATGAGACAAGGTCGCCGTTACTGGCGCGACCCCCAGCAGCAAGACCACAAGATCAGGATTGAGCAGGATCAGCCATTGGAAGACAGATTGGCTATGCAACCGTATTATGCTCTACTTGACGGCCTCGCCGAGCTCTATGTGGAAGAAACTGGAGAAGACACCCACGCCTCCGTACAGACCTGGAGGCAGACACTGCAGATCTGGACCCGTAAGGGGGTGGAGCCCAAGCAACTTATTGGGCAGGTGAGCTACGTGCTTGATCCGCGCTTTGCGCGCCGCTACTCATGCTTGCTTTTGGTACATGACAGATTCTACGACGCGGCCCTGACAAGATGGCATGCAAAATTTTCGCGGAGACTTCGGGATACCTTATTTCTGGCACAGGCGCTCAAGCGCGCCACTTCTGACCGCACGACTGTGCAACGCGCTTCCTACGACAAGGCCTTCGACCTCACTACTGCCTCCCACGCGCAGGCTTTCCCTTACACGGTGATGCCGGTACGCATTTCGGATGATCTGGCTTCTATGCTTGAGTCTCACCCCATGTTGCCTTTTCAAGGCGCTGGCGGCATGACCGCCTTGACGGCCCAGGCTTTCTTAGATAGGGTTTTGAGGATTACGGCAAAGGGTCCCTAGGGCTAAGGGAGCCGGAAAAGGTAAGCCCCAAACCAAATCCCGAAACGATCGCCAGGACCAATGGACTCCCCAGATGGGCAAAGGCAGCAGTCACCGATCTTCTTACCAAGGATGGTCCCAGAAATCCGGATGGTCTGACTACAACACATACCAGAAGCCCAAAGATAAAGGCCAGGCCAAGGGCCAATGGAAGGAACGCGACCACGACTCCAGAACCAACTGGAAGAAGGACGACGACCAGGATAACAATGATAGTTGGGGCGCCTGGGGTTCAGGTCCCTGGGCCCCCTCCAGAACACCTAAAGGCCCAATTTTCGGAGGCCCGGGCAAAGGCTCCCAACAGCAACAGACCCAGCACAACAAAGGTAAAGGCCACAGTCACATTCAGCCAGTCTTTATTTGCGAGCATTGCTCCTGTGCCCTGGGTTACTGCATTGATTGCCCTAAGTGTAAGGAACACCCAGTGCCCCCCGGTTTCATGTGGAAAGACACGGTCCCCTGGAAGACTCTCATTTGCCCATGTACCACCAACGACCAACAACTCTGTGATAAACCCCTAGGCTTCGCACAGAACTGTAGTTTCTGCCAGGAGCATCGTAAGTACTGGTCTTCTAAGCAGGCCCAAGACTCCTGGACCTCCCTTCCCACGGCAACGAAGTGCATGGTATTGCAGCTAGACCGCATCTTGTTTGATCTTGACCCTATCATGCAAGCCCCCGAGGTCACAACCAAATTCATTGCAGCAATGAAAGAAACCTACGAAGGTACGAACTTTAGCTCTTTTTCGCCCCAGCAACACGCCGCCTACTGGGTGGTCAGTGTTTTTGAAGCAGACCTTACGGCCCTGATGCCCCCCCCTAAGCCGACGCGACTCCCTTGGAGTAACCCTAGCTGGGCCCTTACAGAGGAACACATCGTTAACATGTGGGGACCGTTATACGAACCAGTTCTCCAGGCCACCTTTTACACAGCATCCTGGTTTGCACAGTACTTTAAGGAAGTGTGGAGCAAACACTTTGATGACCTAACGGCACATTACAACTTGGGAGACTGGGCACGCATAGTCGATGTCTCCCATTCCCCAATGCTCCCCTGGGATAGGCTGATTGCTTCTTCCCTGTGGCTTGCCTATGAACAGGCTAAGCAGGAACAGGAAACCAGACCTGGCATGGGACCAACCTTCACTTGAATGGCTACTACAAGGAGCATGGAAGCGCACCAGCACAGATCTTTTTCAGACCCTCGCTGAGGAATTTGTGTGGTAC